CCGCCCCGATCAAAGGGCCTTCCCAGGTAGCCACAGTCATCAGTTTGTGTGTGCCTTTCCAGAAGAACATAAGTGTGCTTGCATAGCAAAAATTACGTAGTATTGTTTTGAGTGTGTGATTGTGCATGTGTGTGTGTGACAGATGTCATGGCCTATAAATATATACTCCACCATTTACATATGTCATTTTGCAATTTGCTGTTTTCATCTGTTTAAATTGCACTGTTGTGGAATTGTGGGGCTACAAGCACGAATGTCTCCAGACTCTCTGCACCACTTCCTTTAGAGGAGCTCTGCTTTAGATGTTTTACGTGTGGGCCCTTTGGGTTAAATTCTGTTTAAAGAACAAAAATTGCTTACCAAAAAAAAAAAAAAAAAGTTTGCTAACTCTTTTATTGTGTTCTGCTTCTATCATAAAAAAGAAAACACACAGAAAAACAAAAGAGCAGATACTAATGTTACAGTGTGCCCATCTCAAGCACATAAATGAAGCTCAGAGGAAGATGGAAATCACCAGGCGTGGCCACTGAGGCAAACATTTAGCTTCAACCGGATGCCTGTTGGACTTCAGTCAACTGTGTTTTTGATTCTAAGAGGAAAAAAAATTAAAGAACGTGTACAAAATGTAGATCATGACTCAGAGGCGTAAACCTATGTTGTGTCTTACTTTAGGTATGTTCTGGATGATCAGTACACAAGTTCTTCTGGTGCAAAATTTCCAGTGAAGTGGTGTCCACCGGAGGTGTTTAATTATAGCCGCTTTAGCAGCAAATCAGATGTCTGGTCATTTGGTAAGAACATGGTCCGTTTTTCCTCGGCTCTGCTCTGAAGAGGAAGTGGATGTATCCTTGGGTAATCCTTCTCCTTCCTTTTCCAGGCGTTTTAATGTGGGAAATATTCACTGAAGGCAGAATGCCCTTTGAGAAAAACACCAACTATGAAGTGGTAACCATGGTTACTCGCGGCCACCGACTCTACAGGCCGAAGTTGGCATCCAAATACGTGTACGAGATGATGCTGAGGTGTTGGCAGGAGGTAAAGATTTTTTCTGTGCTTGCTTTCTGAATCTCAAAAACATGTAGGGATCTGGGCTTGGTAGACTAATAACGTATAGTCTAACAGCCGAGTGAGTGAGTGCACGTTTTGTATGATTTCGAACTCTAGGTGAAAAGCCAGCCCTCTCAAATCAGATCTGAATAATGGAAAGAAGAATGAGAAGACATGGAAGAGGAAAATAATTAAGATAATAAATTCAGGCTGCCAACCCACTCCCAAGTAGAAATCCTGTCACAATTGCCTGAGTTAGCAACTCAGGGAATAATCCTGGAGAAGTAGCCCTTCTTTCACCAGACTTCTTGTGTTGTTGGAGTATTACTCTTTCACGAGAGAGGGGTTCTTTCTCCAAACCTCGACTTCCCCAGATCTCTTTACTTACAGTCTTTGGAAGTATTCCTTCCCCATGTATTAAAATGTCACCTCAGAGAAGAGATTAGGCACTAAAATGACTTTTCAAAGATACTATTAACTTAGATGTATCATGTGCTAGGCACTGCACCAAGCCTTTCAGATTTAGTTCTCAAAAGAACCTTTTGAGGTACAGAGACTTTTACTGTGACCACTTGGTGGATGAGAAGACCAGGGCTCATGAAGTTGACATTTGTCTGAGGCCACTTTGCTACAGAGAAGCAGAGCCCATGCTTGGTCACTTAACTATAATGCTTCCAAAGAGCACTGATTGACATGGGAGTGGCCTGGGCAGGAAGTGCCACTGGGGGTGGGAAAGGACAGCATGAGCAAAGGTAAGGCGGTGGCAACAAGTGTGGTGTGTGTATGTGAGGATAGAGATTGGTCTGATAGGATAGAAAGCCCATGTGAGAGTTTTTGTGGGAAATGAAATCGGGTAGCAAGGGGGGGAGGGGCAGGCTCTAGAGGGCACTGTGAATTAGCAGGACTTGATTTTGCAGGTGATAAGGAGCTCTCTTAGCTTCCTGAATGGAAACACAAAAGCAGTGCAGTAGAAAGGTTTGTTGAGGGATGTGTAGAATCCAGTAGACCCATGTGGAGATGCCTGCATGCTCTAGTACCAGAAAATCAGTGTCTTTCACTAGCCTGCTCTGTTATGTGAGTTTGAGCAGTGAGAAATTAGTTTTGGAATGGATTCTGAATCCACAGCGTCTCTTTGATTTTTAATTGTAGAAACCAGAGGGAAGACCTTCCTTTGAGGATCTGCTGCGCACGATAGATGAACTAGTCGAGTGTGAAGAAACTTTCGGAAGATAAGTGATGGTGTGATCTGTGGCTTCCAGATTCCAAAGCATTGGGAAGAAGTGGCACTTTGTGGCTAACTTTTAATTTATTTAGCACTCGGACATGTAGATTGTTTTGCTTATATGAAGTGGAAACACCCAAAGCCTTTGCTTCTAGACCAGCCTGAGCTCTGAGACTGAATCTTTCAGATTATGGAAACGCTGCCTTAGAGATGGTGATTTAAAGCACTCACTTTTATCCATTTCACAAGTATTTGAGTGCCCACCATGTGCTAGGCACCATGCCCAGACCCCAAGTTTTGCCCTTTTTAGGGTTGTACCTGGGGCCATCTTAGCTGGTGCCAGTGAAGGTCAGGATATTTGGGAAGAGATAGGGAGTTAGGGCCTTGTTCCAGCAACCCATCTCTTTCCTTTGACGTCAGCAGAAATCTGGGCCTGAGGCATTGTCTGGAATGTGGGTTCTGGAAGAATCAGGAATCCATCTTGGATAAGTAGCCTTCTTTTGTTTTGAAAACATCTGTTTTTAAGACTGCCATTAGTATTACATTAAAAATATTTTTATGCTGTATATATTGTAAATATATATAATATATAAAGATATATATTTATAAGAAACATGAGTTGTCTTTTAATTCAAATGTTTAATTCTGTAACATATGAGCTTTCCTTTTTAGGACTAGGGACTGCACCTTGCAGCTGTCAATTTCTTTTCCCTCAGGGATCAAATATTCCTTATTGGATAGAAAAAAGTCTGGATCCTTTTGCCATTAGTATTTCTTCTTCCTTTAGGCAGACATGTTTGGGGGGGCCTGTCCAATTTAAGCCCCTAACCAGGCCCATGTTTGGGCTGATTGACCCCACCCATGGTATCTGTCACAAAAAGGAGTTAGGTAAAAATTGAATTAGGGGTAATCAATCACTTTTTACATCTTGAGAATCTGCACCAGGACAGAAATGCTGTAAGTGTGGAGGTGCTGAGCTCTGGGGCAGAATGATGAAGTGATGTTCACAACAAAGCCTGTCTCCACTGCAAGCAAGAGCAGGAGCGAGTTCACGTTCTGGCAGAGAGACCAGGAAACATGGAGAGAATGGTGTATTGAGCCATCTCGCAGATGGTTTTCAGGAGACCTGGTTGGACTTGGAGTCCTGGATCAGTGAGATTGTCTACAATAGCCTTATGGTAGACCCTGTGATGAAGTTTTTGTGAGTGGGTTTTTGGCCATTACAGTCTCTGACGAAGACACCAGCTGAGGTGGAGACTTCAGTTTTCCTCATGAGCCCAGGGAAGAGAAACAGTCTCTTGTCAGAAGCAGAGGTCATGTGTTTGCCCCATACATTGTTCTTGGTATTATGGGAGTAGAAAGCAGAGAAGCACCCAACAACACACAGGGCCTTTCTTTAAGGAGTTTTGATCCCTCTGGGGCCTGCTGAGGTGTCCCCTATGCCACACGTGTTGTGTGAACATGGAGAGCTGTTGCTGGCTGCTCTGAGTAGTGCCTCCCTGTGACCCTGGAGGGCCTCTCTTTCCCTTCGGGTCTGTCTGTCCACTGAGAGCTATCCTTCTGTTTCCTCCTTATGATGGAAAAAAAATTATCATAAATCTTGTCACTGTCTGTTTGCCACCTTCCTCCTCATCTTCCTGTTTAACTGTACCCCCATCACAAAAACATATGTACCTTTTAACTGAATTGTAGCTCATTCAAGGAGTTGACCATATTCGTTATACTTGGGTTTGAGTATGGTTGTTATATCTTTCTCTTCACCTTGACGCCTCCCCACCCCTCGCTATCCCTTCCCACACTTCCCTGTTCACCTGGAGGGGCTATGCTCAAAGTGCCAGATGGTGTTGAAGAAAATGAGGACAAAATATAGTCCTCATGCTAATCATCATAGAAACTATTTATGTGGAAAACAAGATGGATAACACCTGACGACATTAAGGAAGCTTTTCTTCAAAAATCTCCAAAATTGTCACCACAACTTAGAAGAAGTTGTTGTATAAAAGCATAACTAAGGCAAAAAGTGAAGTAAAAATAGAAGAATCCACCCAGAATGCTTAAAGAGATCTTAATCTGCAAAGCAGGAAATAGGAAGGGCAATGTGAATATGCCATCTTCATTAGAATTCTTCCCTTTAGTTTTAATTCTTGGTTCTATTTTCCAAGAGAATGAAATAAAACTCCTAAGTGCATTTCTTATTGATGTCATTTTTATATTTCTCAGCCATGGCTCAATCACCTTTTGGGTATATTATTGAATTGGCTTTCCGTCCCCACAAAAAAATGAAGTTTCATAAGATGGTCCTTGAAGTGTCAGTACTGAGTGGGAGGACAGAACATTCTAGACTTTATACTTCAGTACTGAGAATCTAATTCTCTTTCTACCACTGTGTCCCTTGTCCTCTCTGTGCCTCCATCTCCTTCTCTGTCCAGAGAAGGAAGTTTGATTTGATGATTTTTAAGGTCTCTTTTACAAAAATGTTGTTGACTTCTTGAAAATGTTGTTTGCTGGAATCGCCCACACAGTTGGGAATGAGGAACCCATAGCAACTACCCTCAGAGATCTGGATGCAGATTATTGAACTTTCTTATGTAGGCCATTCGGTTGTCATTCACACACTTTTCTCTGAGGTTTTTAGAACAGGAAAATAGGTGGGGTTAACTTTGCTCGTGAGAAACATCTTGGGTGAGCTATGATATCAGTTAAAAGATGTGTTTTTGTGACCGAAGCACCGCTGAAGAACAGAAGACTGCTTTGTGTACTCCCCGCAGAAGTACAACATGATTCTTTCCACCTGTAAGTACGATGGCTTTGCAGTCATCAGCAGGGCTTGTACTGGGTGTGTTACTGATTCTTGAGCTCCGGAGGACGGCATAAGGCTTGCAGAATTTTGAGGATCAATCATTTCCCCAGATGTTGTAACAGGGTTTTGTGCATTATTTAACTAACCATTGTAGTGATGTAATTTTAGTAAAGGTTGCTCATGGAGGCTGCAAAGGGAAACAAAATACTGTCCTTAAATCTACATGCATGTATGGAAATGCAGTTTGAAAAGTGGTGTTTTTTAAATTATTTTTAATGTTTATTTTTGAGAGAGAGTAAGAGAAACAGAACATGAGCAGGGGAGAGGCAGAGAGAGAGGGAGACAGAATCTGAAGCAGGCTCGGGACTCCAAGCTGACAGCACAGAGCCCGATGCGGGGCTCGAACCCACAAACTGTGAGGTCATGACCTGAGCTGAAACCAGACGCTTGACCAGCTGAGCCACCCAGGTGCTCCCAGAAAGTGTTTGTTTTTAGAGTGATGTTTAATGTAAAGAACTCAGAGCTGAAGGCCAGGAGACCAAGTTGTAGTGTCTGGATTTGCTGCAGCCATGGAGGGCCACCCTTGACAACTTCTGAGACCAGGTCCCTATCTGTAAAACGGTACCCTCTTTCTGCCCATCTCCCAACAAGATTTCATATTCAGCAGCTAGCAATAACAGGGCCTTCATGATCTCAATTCTGGAGTTGCTTTGGAAGACTGTTCAGTTCCACGTGCAATGTTGAAAATGCCTGTTAATTTAGCTCTGCGAGGGCCTGATCATGCAAAGAATTAAAAAATAAGGACGGTCAGTACTGTCCTTGATTTTAATTTGGAATGACTATGGGACCTAGTTTTAACAAAGCTTGGTCATATCAAATGAAAGCAACCAAAGACCATCTAGCGAAGTTTTTACCTTTCTGATTCTTAAGGGGCAATAGGAAAAATTGATTGACTGCGATTTTTAAATGTCATCTGTTGAAACCAGATCACCTCACAGGACCCAGCACCAGTTGGTAGACTTTGTAAACAATAAACGAGGCTATTCCAGTTGCACTCACCTGAATATAACTTCCTGTCTTGACCCACTCCTAGACAAAATAGGGCTCCCTGTTATCAGAAATGCATGGGAACCAGAGTGCAGCAGAGAGAGCTAAGAAGCAACAATTTGTGTCCCCACTTCCCCCAATGGTAGGACAAAGATGAGCAGTGACTTAACCTTTTTATTAAGAGCTATGTGAGCATCTGTTCTTCATATCTCCTGAGGTCAGAACCAGAGAAAAGGCTGTAAATTACAACAGGGGAGAATTAGGTATATATAACATAAATAATGCTTAAGGGTTGAGACAGGATTGGGTTGTAGGGGATTAAATACGAGACTACCTATTGGTGGGGCTATTTTGACGATTGTCCTGACTGGCCTGGAAAGGCATGGGTTTGACAAACATTCACCGTCTCTTCCAGCATCTGGTAGTTTGTGTGATGGTAAAAATCACCTATTTGCTTCTGCCACAAACCACATGTAGCTCTGGCGCTATTTGCTTCTGTGTAAAACAATAAGTGTTTACTGTTGATAAGAGAAAGCCAAGAGGTGTCTCCAGGCGTATGACTGCTAATCAGAAAATGTGTGTATGTGTTTGCCAGGCCAGAGTTTCCGCCAAATATGTTTGTTGTTTGGAGCTGTCAAAGAAGTCTGGCCGACAGGCTGCTATGAGGCAGGAGGAAATCATTGTAGAGGGAGAGATATTGGTCATACTGAATGGTGGGGGGAGGCTGAGTGAGGTCTCAGGGCACTGCCCCAGTGAGCTCATGTGGTGAAACGTAAGTGGGTGCTGCTTAGGTTTCTACCCATAAGCAGTGGCTCTGAGGACAGACCCAGCCTAGTAAAGTTACTTAGAGGACAGAGCCCAGGGAGAAGAGCCAGGGAAGGGTTTGGAAAACTCACCTCTTCCCTTCCCCTCCACCTCACCTTAACCTAAGTCCTCTGCCTTTCTTTTCTTCCCAATTTATAAAGTAGAAGGGGGAAATATACTGATGTATATGAGTGATTCTTAGGAGTATATGGCAGTGCCTGAAGTATGCACGAGACACTGTTAAAATGTAGATTTCCAGACTTACCTCCACAGTTGGATCTGGCAGTGAGGTGAGGATACCTGATCACATTGCCTTTCTGGGCCCTCTATTTTTTTTTTTTTAATTTTAAAAAAAAGTTTATTTTGAGAGAGAGAGAGAGAGAGGGAAAAGTGTGAGTTGGGGAAGGACAGAGAGAGGGAGAGAGAGAAACCCAAGCAGGTTCCATGCTGTCAGCACAGAGCCTGATGTGGGGCTCAATCCCATGACCATGAGATCATGACCTGAGCCAAAACCAAGAGTCGGATGCTTAACCAATTGAGCCCCAGGCGTAGGGCCTCTGTTTTTAAAGCCCTCTCTCAAACCTTGTTGTATTCAATTTCCACACCAACCCTACCAAGTTAATATCTTCTATCATCACCATTATTATGAATATGAAGACAAAGAGAGTCCTGCATAGCCACCTCCCAGATGGCCCCAGTGTTGTCCACTTCCTGGGGTCACACCGTTTGCTAGCCCTCTCCTTGAGTCTGAATTGGACCTAGCAACTCACTTCTCATGAATAGAATATGATAAAAGCGGTAGAGCGTTATCTCTGAGATTCGGTTTTAAAAAGACTGGGGCTTCTGACTTCGTGCTCTTGGGTTCTCTGTCTCTTGGATTACCAGCTGCCATGCTGTGAGCGTTCTCAGGTGGCCTATAGAGAATCCCTATGAGGAACTAAGGCACCGAGGCCTCCAACAGCCTTGGACGTGAACATGGAAGTGGATCAACTCAACCTGACTACATTTTCATGAGCTTCGTGAACTTGTTGACCTCTAGCTGCAGTCACCCAGCTGAGCTGTGCCTGGACTCCCGCCCCCCTGAAACTGTGAGATAGTAACTTTTTTTAAGCTTCCAAGCATGGAGATGATTTGTTTCCAACAACAGATAATGAATTCAGTGGCAGAAGCAGGGAGAACCATGGACCAAAATCAAACTTGGCCACTTCTGCCACTTTTCTGCCTCAGGCTGGACTTGGTCCTCTTTATCAAAAACAGAGAATGTCTCAATATGGACACTAGGAGATGCATCTTTTGTTTTTAAATCATTTCACTTTTATCCCCCTACGACTGCCCAGAGTCTGTCATGATAATGGTAACTGCAGCCGCCATTTGTAGCTCTGTCTGTGAGACTTCCATGTCTTCCGGCTGCTGAGACCCCCTGTCGTTCCTCAGTGAAGGCCACCTGGCCAGCATCACGTGTATACTTCCCGCCCGCAGAGGGTCAGCGCACATAGCTTCCGGCACACTGTCAGTGCTGCCAGCCAGTCTTGTGGTCACACGTTTCACGTCACAAGCTGGCTCAATGTCTTGGGTGTGATATTTGTGAGCTCGTCGTGAATGTTGAGGTCACAGACAGCGGTCTTCTCGGAAACACTGCTCTGAGACCTGGCAGCAGAGAAGAGTGGTATACGTGATGGCTGCCCTGCCCACCTCACGAAAGCTCATTCCTGGGGTAAAAAACCCCCATATTCTTGCATAGAGCAAACTGTGGCTTCAGGGTGCTGGAACGTTTGCTGCCTGGGGCTGTGCTCTGGCCAAGGCTGTGGTGGGTGGTCTTCAGGGAGGCTCTGCCTTCCCTCGCAACATCCTTCACTCCCCGGAAACGATCTCCCCCAGTGCCCAGCACCCCATCCTGCTTCTCAGGCTTCTAGAATCTCTTCACTCCTTCCACACACCCAGCACTCCTTCAGGCCCCAACCAGGTCAAGCACCATTTTTGTCTTCCACCAAATTTATCAGTTTCCTGTTATATGAGCTAGATACCTGTTTTCTGTTAGTGGCCAAGGAATCCCCTAAAGTTGTTATTTCATGTACTTTAAGGTAAGACCAAGATGATGTCAAAAAGCCAGTTTGGGATTTAATGCAGGGTTGTTAACTTTTTTTGTCAATCCATTCAAAAAGACTGACCTCTCTGGTGTCTATCATTTCTTAGAAGCACGGACATTTTGATGTCAAAAGGAAACAGACACTGGAGTGTTCTGGTAGCATTCCTCTTAGAAGGAGTGTCTTTTTAATATCAAAAGGAGCATATACACTGAACAAGGATAACACCTCAAATGTTATGCACAATATGAAGAGCATAAACTCAGAATAAAGGATAGCCTTCTAAATTGAATAAACATTTTTTTAATGTTTTATTTATTTCTAGGAGAGAGAGAGAGAGAGACAGGGTGAGCAGGGGAGGGTCAGAGAGAGAGGGAGTCACAGATTGAAACAGGCTTCAGGCTCTGAGCCGGCAGTCAGCACAGAGCCCGACGCGGGGCTCGAACCCACGAACTGCGAGATCATGACCTAAGCGGAAGTCGGACGCTTAACCGACTAGGCCACCCAGGCGCCCCTTGAATAAACATTTCTATGAAAAACTCACTGCGTCACTTCTTCCCTCCGTCTCTGGCCCCCTTCCTCCTCCAGGTCTGTCCTTCCTTCCCTCTGTACCTCCTTCCTTCCTTCTTTTCTTACCCTCATTACTGTGAGTTCTTTGTTTGGCATCTGGAGAGCCTTTTCTGATGCCTGATCAGAGGTAGAATTCCACGCTAAAGAAAAGTTCACTGTGTGTCACACTTCGCAGACAACATCCGTCAAGTCATCGACAGCTTCCCTGTCTTTATTATTTTTTTTCAAGTTTATTCATTTTTGAGAGACAAAGAGTGTGAGCAGGGGTGGGGCAGAGAGAGAGGGAGACACAGAATCTGAAGCAGGCTCCAGGCTCCTAGCTGTCAGCACAGAGCCCAATGCAGGGCTCGAACCCACGAACCGTGAGATCATGACCCGAGCTGAAGTTGGACGCTTAACCAACTAAGCCACCCAGCACCCCATTTTTATTTAAAAAAAAAAGTTTGTTTTTTTTTTTCATTACAGCATGCCTGTCTTTAAAAGGCCCT